TGCTCCCTATTGTTTTTAAACTTAATTTGAACTATTTGCTTATGACATATCTGCTGGACTTATCAGGTTACTTGCCGTATTCTGTGTGATCAACTTATTAAATTATGTGGATCGTGGAACTATTGCGAGCAATGGTGTTAATGGAAGCCGAAAAACTTGTACGAAAACTGGTACATGTTCTCCTGGCAGCGGAATTCAGTAAGAATTCTTTTTGAAATTTGTTCTCTTTCCTCTCTAGTCCTGCTTAACTCTAAAGTTCTAGATTTATATTCTCTGCCTGGCTCATGTTTGATACTATGTTTTTTTCCTGTTCTTTATTTTCTTCTGTTGATTTACTAATGCTTATAATTGAGTGTTCAATTGTTTCCTGGATGATGTACCTTGACATTCTCTTGGACAGTTACTTTTCCTTGCCAAATTTAATGATTGAACTATTTTAGTTACATATCCTCATTGTCTGATCATGAGCTTCCTTCTGTCTCTTTCCAGGGGTGAATTTGATTTGAGTAATTTTCAGGATGGCGTCATATCATCTGCTTTCATGGTTGGGCTTCTGGTGGCATCTCCAATATTTGCCTCATTATCCAAGAGGTAACGCGCAGTACATTACAAGCTAGATATTTTGGTACATATATATTTCATACTTAAGAACATTCACTTTGGGAAGTTTATTTACTGCGCCCGAACAGATATATTCATTACATTTAACAATTGAAATATTCTCTTCATGTTACCAATTAGTTTGACATATTCTTTTACTATATCCCAGATTACTTTACCCTTACCATATGTAGAAATGTTTTATTTAAACTGACTTAAGATTATGCCCCTTTTGAATTCGAATGTCATACTCTATTGTTAAATGTCCACTTCTCAAAAACGAAGACTTGGTACGACTTATATTAGTTACAAGAATCTCAATTTTCCCACTTTTACTCTTTTTAAAATTGGAAAAAATGGATAACCGCTATAATTTTGACCTTTTCACCCATGTTTTATTTAATAATCCATTTTTCAGAACTCTGAAATAAACTATTCCAAGGTCAATGTTTCCTCCCGTAAATCATGTAAAGTCAAATTATTGCATTCAATTTGAAGTAGATGGACTAATACTTGATGTACACTTTAACTTCACGAACATGGTTATTTATAAGATGTATGTCGCCTATAGGTGGAAGACATTTTGACTATATTCTCTTGAATTGCTTGTTGGTAAAAGGTAACAAAACCTTGGCAATTGCAACAGACAATTTAACTGACAAGTTTAGTTCAAGCAAACTACACTACATTACAGTGTTTACCTCTTAATTTTGGCATACCTGAAGATGCTATTCTTTCTATTATGCTGTCAGAGTTGAAGTAAAACTTCGTCTTTTTTCTTGATCAGTTTGCGGCTTTGAGATATTTGCTAGGAATAGAATCAGACAGAGGTTCACTAGGGAAAGGAAGAATACTTGAGTAGTCTGCATTTTCTTTGCTCCTTTAGTTGCTTGAGTTTCTTACCTGTGTGCTCGTTAAATCGACAGTGTCAATCCATTCAGACTTATTGGAGTTGGACTGACAGTGTGGACGTTAGCTGTTGCTGGTTGTGGTTTGTCAATTAATTTCTGGTTGATTGCAACATGCAGAATGTAAGTCTAACCATGTTACTCTTCACAAGCTGTCCTGTATTACTTGCAAATGTTTTCGGAGTGATGGGGTGGGTGGAGGGAAGCTTATCTTTTTAAAAAAAAATTAATATTATTTCCTTTTTCAGGTTTGTGGGTGTTGGCGAGGCATCTTTCATAAGCCTTGCTGCTCCTTTTATTGATGATAATGCCCCTGTTGCTCAGGTTTGGTTTTTTAAATTAATGATTTCTGTGACTGTGCTAACTTCCAGTAAATGTCACATGCTATACTGCTGGTCTTTTATTTCTATATTAAGTCTGTTTATATTCTGGCTAGATTTGAATGTTGTACTACTTTTTTATTTTCTGTTGCTAATATGATGTGTTGTTATTCTGCATATACTTATATTTCATTAATGTTGCAACAATTTAAGTTTACACCAGTTATGTGTATGATAAGAAATGAACCTGTGGGTCAAACTCAACCCCAAAAGCTAGTTCAAGAGGTGAGGATTGCCCAAAACCAAATAAGTAGACAACAACCCATTTCCTCCACCAATGAGGGCACCTAACACCGCCCTCCCATCCCCATCCTCCGGCGCACCTATGACTGAAATTTTGGAGCATGGACAAATAACATGGGTTCCATATTGGGTAAACCAAGAATACGAATGAGTTTGGCTCTAATACCATGATAAGAAATGGACTTTTGCATCTTGTATATTTTCTGCATGCTTATTCTTCTCTATTGCTTTTGCAGAAAACTGCATGGTTGGGAATATTTTACATGTGTATACCAGCTGGGATAGCAGTTGGCTATGTATATGGTGGCCTGGTGAGCTCACTCTTCAGTGCTTAAGTTTAATATTTTCTTGTGGAATGTGATTCATTGTGCATACCAAGTTTTACCAACTCTCCAGACCGTGATAGGTTGGCGATCATCTTAACTGGCGTTGGGCCTTTTGGATCGAGGCAATACTGATGCTTCCCTTTGCAGTTTTAGGTTTATTTATGAAACCATTGCAATTAAAAGGTAATGTTAAATTAGTCTTTTGGTCTTATTCTATATACATTTTCTGATGTGTTCTAAGTCTTTTTACAGGATTCTCTCACACTGGATCGAAAAAACCATTGACTTCTCCCCTGACTGCTTGCCCAGATGAAGGTAGTGCCTATTATCACAGACACTTTGTCTACCTAGAGTAAGAGGGGTGTCTGATTTTTGTCCTAACTTTGATCATTTTGCTCTCCATGCCCTACCTTCTCTTGATTTGTGATTCAGAGGCTCAACTTTGTTACTTTGTGAAAGAAAATGATGTTGGGAAGAGTCTTTGTTTTGAAAGAAAATATTAAAATGTTTGTAGTTGATGATAAAAGAACTAAGGGCCTGGTCGAACTCCTCGATTGCTAAAATGGAAAAGCTATTTTTCGAGACTTCTGTACTTAGAGTTTGTCCATAAATATCTATTGTAGAAATTAAAGAAGTTTAGGATAATCCAAAAATAAATAAATATGCCCTAGCTTGCAGTTCTTCATTCTTAGCAGCTTGATAATAGTCTTTGTAAGGGGTTTGACATCTTGATATAAATATACTAATAAGTCAAAGTGGTGGGAAATAGGTTAAGATGGTTCAACAACAAACAGTTGTATGGAGCAATTGAATGAAAATTTATTTGATATCCTCTTGTATCTGTGAGCTTGACCATTGTTCTTAGCTTTTTTCCCCCTTAAGGTGTTCTGTGTACACTTGTCATGGTGGTTTCTTGAATGCACCATAATTTGACCCCAACTCTTGTCATTAATGCAGCTGTTTCAAATTGTAACCATGGTTTGTTACCATCACAGGAAGATTCCAAGGATGGGTAAGGAACCTTCTCATAACCAGTCAGATGCTGTTAATGGTCTTAAGACAGCCAACATTATTGACATCCCTGCAAACATGATTAACAATAAGCAATACACCTTCTGCTATCACTCAACTGACCTCTTTCTTGTCTACGCTATTTTCTTTTCTTTTCTACAGTTCAAAATGTGCACCTAGTAATTTGAATCAGTTGACAAGATTTTGGAAGGATATGAAGGTGCTTCATCTTGAAAAGGTTTATGTCATCAATGTCCTAGGTATTTTATTAACTTGTCTTACCTCCAACTATTTCATGCTACCTTTTCTTTGGATGCTGATATTGGAACAAGTTGACGCACACTTTTTGAACGTCTTTACTTCTTTTCTTAAAATAAATAGATCTCATCTATGCATAAGCTTGTTATGCATGACACACTGATTCTCAACTTGAGTGGTTTCTTGCAGGATACATAGCATATAATTTTGTAATTGGCGCGTATTCCTATTGGGGACCAAAGGCTGGTTATAACATATACCATATGGTAAGCTCTCGAGTCACTATTCCGCTTCACAACTATTCTCAAGGGATAAGTTTATATTTGCATGATTCTGTTGATTGTTGTCTTTCTCTGACCCTTGGATTCACAATTGGAAGTTACTGTATACAAGTGAAATGAGCTTGATTTGACATTCCCCATCCACTTACAATTTTTTTGGTTTGTGGACCAATCAAATATCGCAAAAGCATTAAGTTCATGTTAGCTGATTTGCAATTGGTGTCTCCACAGAAAAATGCAGACATGACGTTTGGAGGTATTACTATAGTATGTGGAATATTGGGAACCTTGGCCGGAGGCCTTGTTTTGGATCGAATGAATTCCACAATATCCACTGCCTTTAAGGTGGGTACTTTTGCATTCCTAAGATTCTGTTTAATCTCTAGAAGCATTTCTCATTTAATCCAGTGTCTAATGTGAATATCATTCTTTGTTAAATGTAAAACAAAGAAGACTTTCTCAGTCAGGGGATAAAGAGTGCCCCAGAAGAACTTATTCTTTTGGCTTTTACAACTCTTTCTCCTTGCGTTAATTTACTCAAATCTGCTGTTTTTTAATAGGATAACCTACGAAGTTCAATTCTGATGTTAATCACACCTATATTCTATTCTATTATTTTTCTTTGAATCTTTCAAAACCCTGTTGCTAATGATGTCACTATTATGTACTGCAGCTTCTCTCAGTGGCAACATTTCTTGGAGCAATATTTTGCTTTGCTGCCTTTTGTTTTAAGAACTTATATGTTTTCATCGCTCTTTTTGCGATTGGAGAACTGCTTGTATTTGCAACACAGGTAATTCTATCATCTAATCAGTATTCTATGTAAAATAGGTTGCTTCTTTGTACAATAGCTCAGTGTGGAGTATTACACTAGGGAATGCTTTCTGCAAAATGGTTCTTTCCCTACTTTCCTAGTTCCTTTATATTATTCATATAGGTGATCAAGTGTGTCTTTTTCTTTGAGGCAGAAAACGTTATTTAATTACTAAAATTGTCTGGATGGCTGATCTTATTGCCCATGCATCCTTTTCTCTTTCTTCTGAAATTCTGCAAAGAGTAATCGGGCTTTTATTTAGTTACCTGAAACATCTCATTGATTTACGATGATGCTTAAATAGTTGTATTTAAGGCTGAAACTGTTGTATTGAGTGCTTAATTTCATCTTACAGTAAAGCCTCTGACTGCAGGGCCCTGTAAATTATGTCTGTCTCCATTGCGTCAAACCAAGTCTTAGACCACTGTCTATGGCGATGTCTACTGTTTCAATTCACATATTTGGTGATGTACCTTCCTCTCCTCTTGTGGGGGTTGTCCAGGTTTGTGCTTGCTCATTCAAAATGTTGATCTTGTTTTGTAACTTGTCTTTCCCTCTTTTAGGAGTTTTTTTTCCAAAACACACGCACACACGCACACACTACTACTACAACAACAACAACAAACCCAGCTTAATCCCATACGTGGGGTCTGGGGAGGGTAGTGTGTACGCAGCCTTACCCCTACACTATAAAGGCAGAGGGGTTGTTTCCGATAGACCCTCGGCTTAAGGAACGGTAAAAATAAAGCAACATGCAATAGCTCACACGCGCGCGCGCGCGCGCACACACACACACACACACACATATATATATATATAGTACATAGGGAGTTCTCTTGTATATGTTGTCCTCGGGTAGTCTTGAACAAAACACTTCATTACAAACTAGGGAGGAAAATCAAAATACACAACCTAAAAAATATTAAGTTTGCTTTCCGTATGTGCTAATGTTAGGAATTACGGCCTTATCTTAACATCATTATGTTTCCCTTTAGAAAGGACCCCTAAATGGGTTGGGTGAACATGCTACTCAATCACATCATAACTCATATGTAGAGTGACATTCAAAGCAAATTGAACCGTCCAAGTTGGCTCTTTTAGCAACCCTTTTATATTCTTTGCATGAAAGCTACATATTTGGCATCTCTAATTGCCTCTAAATATGGATCGCCCGAACTTAGAATCAGCTGAGGACTTGAGATATATTTGTTTCATTTGACTCATTGCAAAATCATTGACACAAGAACACAGAAGTCATTATAGGAGGATTAGTTCGGATGGTGAAATGTACTATCTATATGAGAATATGCTTTCTTTCCCTTCGTAGTAATAAATAAAATAACTTACAATCTGCAATATTAGTTCTGATAAAAGGAAAATCTGTTGTGGCTCCCAGGTCTTCGGTCTAGTGGTAAGAGTGCAACACGTGATGTGTTAGTTAAGCGCACGTCACAGGTTTGAATCCTGCCGCAAACAAAAGCCTTGGATTTAAGTGGAGAAGGGTATAGGCCCCTCGTGGATTTCTCAGTTATAGAAAAGGGGAAATATGCTGAGTGAGAGCATGATGGTTCTCTTTCTCCTTCGATAGTCTTTTTTCCTCTTTAGTCATGAAAATGGAAGTACAAGCTGCTTTTATTTATATCTATTGTTTAACATGGTAAATGAAAGACACGATGGAGGCTATAAAATCTATTGTTTAGCATGCAAACTCAAAGCTTTAAAGGGCAAACTCAGAGAATGGAGCAAAAGTAGCCAAGGAAACTTGGGGGTCCAAAGATCCGACCTGCTAAAACAATTGGCAGTCTTTGATGCTATTCAAGAAACAAGAGCACTGACTGAGGAGGAATCTGCGAGGAAGGCTTCTATCCTCATGGAATATGAGGAACACTTGAAAAATGAAGAAGTTGCATGGAGGCAAAGATCTAGGGCTCTCTGGCTTAAGGAAGGAGACAGGAACACTAAGTTCTTTCACCAAACTGCTAATGCGCATAAAAGATGCAACAACATTGATCAGCTAGTGGTGAATGATGGAACAATTGAGGAACCAGGGAGAATCAAGTTTGAGATCACTGAATTCTACAAGAATCTTTACTCAAAGGCTATGGAATGGAGACCTGAAGTTAATTTCGACAACTGCCCCACAATATCAGAAGAAGAAAAAGAGCTTTTGCAAAGCAACTTTGAAGAACAAGTGTTGTCATGTTTGAAGTGATGTGCAGTAGATAAGGCTCCAGGGCCTGATGGATACACTATGGGTTTCTTCATCAAATGTTGGGACATTTTAAAATAAGATATCATGGAGGCTCTTCATAATTTCCACTCTCAAGAACTGTTTGAAAGAAGCTTCAATGCAACATACATAGCCTTGATTCCTAAGAAGATTGGAGCCAAGGAACTCAGGGACTTCAGACCTATAAGCTTAATAGGCAGCTTTTATAAGCTGCTTTCGAAGGTTCTAACAGAGAGACTCAAAAGGGTGATAAACAAATTGGTGGATGCATGGCAGATGGCTTTTATCAAAGGAAGACAAATAATGGATGTTGTTCTAATAGCCAATGAAGCAGTAGATTCAAGAAACAAACTAAAAAAATCAGGAATTTTGTGCAAACTAAACATTGAGAAGGCATATGATCATGTTAATTGGAGATTCTTGCTGAAAATGCTAGAACTAATGGGTTTTGGGAAGAAATGGATCAACTAGGTGAGTTCTTGCATATCTTCAGTTAAATTCTCCATTCTCATTAATGGATCCCCTGAAAGTTTCTTCCCTGCACATAAAGGGCTCAGACAAGGAGATCCCCTATCTCCTTTTCTCTTCTTAATTTCTATGGAGGGGCTGAACAATATGATCAAAACTGCAAAAATCAATGGATGGATCAAAGGTTTTGAGATAGCAAGAAGTGGCAACAACAACCTGGAGATTACACATCTCCAATATGCTGACGACACTCTAATTTTTTGTGATGCAAAAGAAGAGCAGTTGAGGTATTTGAGAATTATTCTGGTCTTGTTTGAAGGTATCTCAGGACTGCATATCAATTGGAAAAAGAGCCATCTGTACCCAATTAATGTTGTGCCTGAGATGGAGCAACTATCACTGATTTTGGGAGGTATAGTAGGATCTCTTCCTGCTATCTATCTTGGCATGGCTTTAGGTGCTAAGTCCAAGTCCAAGGAGATATGGAATACAGTAATTGAAAAATATGAGAAGAAGTTATCCAGATGGAAAGCTCAGTATCTATCTATGGGAGGAAGATTAATTCTGATCAATTCAGTACTTGACTCATTTCCTACATACATGATGTCACTCTTTTCCTTCCCTGTAAGTGTTATTCAGAGATTGGATAGACTCAGAAGATCTTTCCTTTGGCAAGGAAACAAAGAAAAGAAGGGGTATCACTTAGTGAAATGAAAATCTCTGACGATTGGCAAAAACAAAGGTGGGCTAGGCACCAGGAACTTAAAAAACCAAAGAAGGCTCTTAAGATGAAGTGATTATGGAGATTCTTTCAAGAACCTCAATCCCTATGGAGTAATGTCATCAAAGCTAAATATGGAGAGGAAAATAACTGGGTTTCAAAGGAAGTCAATACAGCATATGGGGTTAGTTTATGGAGATCCATCAGAACACTCTGGCCTACAGTGAAGAGCCAATCCTACATCAGAGTGGAAAATGGTACCAAAACTTCCTTCTGGAAGGATAATTGGATGGGATCTGGAAGCTTGATGGAACTATTTCCTGATATGTATGGTTTAGCTCAACAACAGCAAAAGACAATACCCGAAATGTGGACTCCTCAAGGTTGAAATCTGATACTTAGAAGAAGGCTGAATGATTGGGAGCTGACGAGGTTGGCTGAACTATACAAGAAACTGGAAGCATTCAAAAGCCTTCAGAATGGAAGGGATTCACTATGGTGGAAGGGCCACAACAGAGGAATCTATAAGGTGAATGAGGCATATAAGATGCTTAATCATACTAACGCACAGATCACTAATTGGCCAACATATTTGGAAAGTCAAGATACCTTACAAGGTATCTTGTTTCACTTGGTTACTTGCAAAGGAGGTAGTCTTGACCCAGGATAATCTTATGAATAGAGGGATCCCACTGTGCTCTAGGTGCTTTTTATGTGGGGAAACAGCTGAGACAGTTAGCCATCTATTTCTACACTGCAGGATCACAGATCAACTATGGAAGATATTCATTAACCTCAGAGGTATTTCATGGACAATGCCCTCTAAGATTACTGAAGTGCTCACTAGTTGGGATGAAGCTGGAATTGGAGCCGGAAGCAGAGATAGTTGGAGGACTGTCCCTGCATGTATATGGTGGACAATCTGGAAGGAGAAAAACTCTAGATGTTTTGAGGATAGTAGCAATTCAATACATAAGATCAAAATGAATTGTGTCCTTTTTTATTTTTGGTGTAAACAAAAGTGGCCAGAAGATACTGTATCGATCCTAGAAGCCCTAGAATACTGCTAGGATTGTAGCTCAGTAGTCTATCGTTTTGCCTATTGTAAATATGGTTTCAGTACAACCTACGTACTGTTATATATCAATATACACAAATGTTACCTTCTCAAAAAAAAAAAAAAAAAAAAAAAAAAAGACATGACAAGCCCCTAGGTTGGCTTCCAAGAACTAGCCTAACCGTTAAATTAATATTGGACAAGGTCAATTATGGGTGAAGCAGTAGTAAATTTTCTTCTTTCTTTTTTTTTAATTTTTAGCAGTAGTAAAGTTATGTTGTAACAACTTTATAGTTGATTTTATGGTTCTTGATAACATTGATCAATATTCTTCTACATTTCTCTTTTACAGGACCGCATTGACAATTGGAGAGTCACTGCTTTGATCTTGACATCAATTCTATTTATAGCCGCTGGAATATGGTTTATAGGTATAGTACACTCTATTTGAACGCCTAAACTCCAAATCTTTATCCTTTAAATGAGGCCTACTTGATGTCACATTGGCAATAGATTTTGGGTTCTTATTGATGAATTATTTTAATGTATTTGTATGTGTAGGCATCTTTCTTCATAGCGTAGATAGATTTGACGAAGATAGTGAGGATCGAGTAAGTGATGTTGAGAGAGCAAACTCACCACCATTGCTTGAGAAGAAAAGTACTGAACCGATTGAGGTCTCTGTCGAATCCTAATATTTCGTTGTGTAGCTGCCACAAATGAAATGTAAATCCGTTGGTTCTTTTTCTTGATAATGATTGTTTTTGATCAGCTTCCACGTACCTTGACTATTCCTTCTGAGTACCTGTTACCTAAATTCTGCCCAAAGGCTTAATGTAAATTCTTTATTCTTTTCTGTGTAAATAATGTTGCACTCCATAAAGAGAAGTGGTTGAATTGTTCATATTGATATCATCAAAAGTAGCTACAACATTAAGTTTTGGCTTGCCATTCGACGACATTATTTTATATTATTTTCTGTAGTTATAATCTTGCTTTGTTTTTGTCCTTTCGGAAAAGCTTTTATTTTGCATGTATTCACAGTGCAACTAATTCATATGAATTAAATAACTTTGCAAGTGATAGAGAAGAAAAGGAGTAAGATGATTTTTGATCCATTTTGTTCTATTCAGGTCCTAAATCAAAAGATTCTTCAAATATCACAATTATCCCCACGTAAATATACAAGTTTTAACCACAATAGAACCACTTCACAAACATTACACTTAATGCAAGTTGTAACAACAATTAAGTCTTTTAACCTCAACTAGTTGATACTGCCTGCATTTGTTATTTGCTTCCAATGGTGTGTTGTTCCCTACATTGATTCGGAGAGATTGTAGGGGTTTTTTTAAAAGATAATTTTCTAACACATGATATTAGGACTACCCGTCGATCATCACATTGTCGCGCGTCTTGCAATGATAACATATTTCTATTTTGCAAAGATGGTTTACAAGGAGAAATAAATAAGTTTGGAATGATCGAACTTGATGATTATATTACCCTATTTACTAAAATACATTTAAATCACTACTATTCAATATAATGCGCACTTCTAAAATTTCTCTCTAGTTGAAAATAACTCTTCTAAATTTGGTCTTTAGATGAAATTGGCTCCATAGATTTTCCATTACCTATTAAGATTATTGATATATGTAGTATCAAGAACCTACAGAACACTTCAATGGTTAAGAATGGCTTAGCCAAACTAATGGAAACAACTAGGTCTAGCATCACGTGAGACATTGAAGCTTTGTTAATTACTTAAAGATAAACCCATTTTTACCTGCCCTTTCAAAAAAATTAGCTGGTGGAATTGGAGAATGAAGATCAATTCATTTATCACTAGTCAGTACACCTGTTTTCATCCTGGATAAAATTTAAAAACACTACTGCATGAACAAAATTATGGATGATGAAGTAGAAAAACAGTAACATTTTTAACAAAAAAACGTCTTAAGAATATGAATTGACTTCCACCTCAGAAGCGAAGAGCATAATCCTGGGGCCATTTTCCACGTCCAGTTTAGGTTACAAGCAGGAAAACTAGCAGGCTCAAGCTCTATCAATTGGCATCTATACAAGTGAAAGCTCACCAGCAGGGATAGATCTCTTGACAAGCTTTGCCCAAGATTCATTGGTTTCTGTAATAACCTTAAGCGCGTAATCCTGGCAGTGCAAGGTACAGAGATCATTAGCAGGGTCATGTAGAGCATGCCAAAACAGGCACAAAGACTAAAACCTCTTTATCCGACAGGAGAAGATCTGGAGATGTGTTAGCAGGAATACTAAATACGGAGTAATTAATTATTACATCTATGTCATTGTGTTCTGCACTGAATCATAATCAACCGGCTTTTTTTCTGCAAGAGGCTGTTTCCTCGGCTTTCTGTTCTTCAACTATGAAGGGGAAGAGCCTCTTGCAGAAATGCAGGGTAAGGTTGTTTCCTCGGCTTTCTTCAAGAGGAACACAATGACATAGATTTCATTTTCAACTAAAATAACACGAAGGGCACACAAAACAAGGAACTGCCAATTTTCTAAGCATTATTTCTTTTTTTGTTGAGGGAAAAAAAGGGCAACACAGTGCACTAAGCTCCCTTATGCGCGGGGTTCGGGGAAGGGCCGGACCATAAGGGTGTATTGTACGCAGCCTTACCCTGCATTTCTGCAAAAGGCTGTTTCCTCAGCTTTCTTTTCTTTTTGAGAAAGGTAACAGAATTTTCTAAGCATTGCTATCATGTCTATTTGAAAATTTAAGTCAGCTCTGTCTGAAAGTATAATGTTTCAAGAAACTAAGGGAAATAGAAACAAGGATCTTCAAAGGATCTACGAAAGCATTTACCTTGTTTGCTGGCTTGTTGCCAAGAGCAAACCTATTGGCAGGTTTTCCGTCAGGTATCTTATAGTCTCTAAACCAGTCCCTGATTGCTGTGAGAGTGCCCTGAAAAATTCGCAGTACTAGTTTGATCAACATTGACAAAGATCTAAAGGAGGGCATGATTCTTTTCATTCAATGTGATAGCAAAGGTAACAAAATACTAAAAAGAATACGGGAATTATCACTTCATATACAAGTACTTTTGTCTCCACGAAGCAAAGTTATAGCAATGTTACTATTTGGTTTTAGGAGATAATTAACCAGACTCTTCATAAAAACGATAAATTAACCATAAAAACAATAAAACATTGCAAAACGAATCTGAGGTAAGCAAATGAAAATTGAAAAGGAGATTCCAAGACAAATATCTATAATTGAAGAGACATCTCACACCTCAAGAAAAAAGAGATGCATAAAAGTGTTGCACAAGCAAAAGCAGTGAGAGTAAAAGGAGAGTCAACAAAAGATTTATTGCCCATCAAACATACCGGAAAATGTTTCTCTACATCATCAACATCATTAACAAGTGAAGCTCTTGGATCGTCTAGGGAAATAGCAACTATCTTCCAGTCAAGTTCTCCTTCATCAATCATTGCCAGAGCAGCTAAAGGTTTGACCTTCAGAACCTGGCCAATTTTGCCACGGCTTTTCCCAATCTCAACAACATCAACTACAGGAAAAAAAATCATAGAGAGATGCAACCATTTATTACAATCTCTAACACCATTCTTTTTTCTACTCTTTTTACTTTGACAGATGAACCAGAAGAAAGTTGTAAGCTATTTAAAATTATAGAACCATACCGGGGTCATTATCTCCAAATGCCCCCTCAACTTCAGAGTTTGCAAAAGAAGGATCTTCCCATGTTTGAGGAAGCAATCCATAGTTCCAGTGAATGTTATATCTGAGGATTGCACAAGAAGTGCATAATATCAAACTCAAAAACTGTAGACATCAGAAAATGACAATTTCTCGCAGCTATGATGACACAACATCAGCGAGGAATAAGTCTTATCAGTTGAAGATTGTGGAATGAGTGCGTCCAACGATGCTAAACATGAAACACTTGGTAACAGACAAAAACCTACAGCCTTGGAAACTTGTGGATAATGGGCCTTCTACCCCTCTCCACTTAAATAACAGCCTTAATTTGCATGACACAGGGCTCGAACCTGTGACCTAAGTCCTTCCCTCCCCACCCCCTCATTATTTTTTGGGATGACCGAGAAATCCGTCCTGGCCGTCCCTTAAGAATGACGGAAGCCTTCCAAACTCGGGGATAATGGGCCCACCTCCCTCCCTTCTTATCTTACTACAAGGAAGGCGGGTAGAAACCAGCAAGATAGTTATATCTGAATATATAACATCCTAAAAGAATGTTGAGAAGAGACAGAATAGGCTTACGGATAGTATCGAAGTTTCCCCTTCTTTGTGTCTTGTTTAATTGGAGTGTGTTGCTCATCTGTAGCAACTTCCATCTTAGCACTTGATTCTTTAGGTATTTCAACAACAAAATTGAAAACTCCATCACCCAAATGTAGTGGTATGTCATGCCAGGGGGATAACTGCACATTATATAGAAATGATAAAATCACCCTGTAACTAATATGCCTAGGCAGACCAAAAGCTACGATTTTTACTAAGTATAAAACATTAACAAAATAGAAATAGCTTCACGTTGGATTAAAGTGTGACCTTTTTGCCGGAATTGTCCTCTAGAAAGACACGGTAATCTAGGGTTTCGGGCTGTCCTTCTTCTTTGGTCTGAAGCTGGGGATTGTAGATAGCACTGCAAGTGAAAAGACGCCTCTTTTGCACAGGTCCGTTTCTGAAGCAAAGACTGAAACTATTGGGCCTTCGTAATGGACCTTTCGATAGAAGCGAAGCTGTTACAGTGTTGCTGGCTGATACCATCACTCTTGCCGCCGCCATTGCTGACGAGTGTTAAAAAGAAATTGGAGAAGATGGATGAACTGGTGAAACTACTCCTGCTATCACTGCATAACTTCAGCCACATATACAAATGGTGAGATATGATTGGTTAACTGGAATATTCGTTTTTATTTCTTATTTTTCTAAGTGCTCCCACTTACGTTTTACAACTACAACTAATTTTCTCGTCTTGTTTCTTTTACCCTATTTTGTCCTTGTGATTTTTATTTTCTTCATTTAGTAAAAAATAACTCCTTTTCCTTAATGTCGTGTTTTTGAAAAGAAATTAGAATAACTATATTTTATTATAAATAAAATTGTATTTAAGGTGAATGTCTATATTTTAGAGAAATTTTAGGGTTTATTACTTTGTGGCTAATTCACTTCTTTCCTATAAATAGAGGGGCTCCATTCCATTATAAATCATCCAAAATTAATAAGAATTCTCTGTCTCCACTTTTCTTTATAATACTCTTTTCTTCTTTTGTTGTTTCATAACACGTTATCAGTACGAGACTCTAAACAATTGAGTAGAGGCATGTGCTTTGATCACCAGGCTTTGGGATGCGTGCATGGTGCTCAACTTGCACATAATATTGAGCATAATGATTGTCAATTGATCCATGAACATCCTTGAGGAATAAATTCTGGATTTAAGGTAAGTATTTTACCTTATTTTTCTCTTTTAAATTCTTGAAATTCTAAAACTTGATTTTAAATACAAGCAAAGACAATAAATTTTGATTATAACTCTAATGGAGTTTGTAAGAAATTATAATCACCCAAAGTGGTAAAATTTATATGTCTTGCCATGATCAAATTCATGTATGATTATGGGCACAAAAAGTGGAAAACCATCCCATTGAATTTGCTTCATTCTCGTTCCCTTAAGAGAATGTGGTAGCAGTATGTGATAAGTCTGAAAGGAGACAAAATCATTATCGTGAAGGTATCAATGGATGTGGACGTGTCAATAGACGAAATTATAATCGTCATCATTGTGGTAATGAGAATAATACGGATTCTCAAAATAATCCTTCACTCTATGAAATTAATGTTTGTCGTCGATTTGGCATGAGATTTCGTAAAGCACATATAGATGACTATGGTCCATTCATGATGTGAATGTGAAAACATGTGATT